TAATCTCTCGATAAATTTCCGATATTTCCTGAAATAGCTATGTTTCCCAAATCGTCTACAGTGATATCTACTGCTGGCCATTGATATTTAGACGAAATAGAAGCAGTTTGTAAGAAATACAAACTCGAGGGCATATTATTCCAGTCTTTACTCGGAGCATTTCCGTGGATAATTGGATCCAATGAAGGATGAACAATATCTAAAACCTTTCCGTCCGATCCCGGATGCCAAACTTCTTTAAACCGATCAGATAATAGATATTTGTCTACGGCTTCGTTAAAAGTTATATAGGATAAATCATCTTTCGTAACAATTCCTTCGGATTGGAGTAAGGAGTCGCCGCATACCTTTCTTTCCCCTCGCAAACGTAACAAATCTGATATCGCCCGTCTGATTTCTGCCTCCTTGTATTTTTCTGCATTTTGTAACTCTTGCTTCCATTTTTCACAATATTTGAAGATCTTACTCTCCCAGTCAACCTTTGCCATACAAGCATCTTTGATAGCCACGACATTAGAATTATTACTAGGGATTCGCCAAGTATCTATAAATACCCGGATAAGGTATCTGGCTAATTCAGGATCTTCGTAGAAAGTCGGCTCCATCATAGGATGATGTTGGTAATTTCCTTGCAATTTAAGAAGATAATGCACTACATCATAACATTGACCACGACAAGCCCCGCGGAAACCTTGATAGTTCCGGACAGAAACATCTACACCAATCGCTACCAGTTTTTCAAGTGAGTTCAGGCTTCCGTGGTGACATGCCCATCTCCATGCGTATTCATCTTTAACGCCAATAATTTCTTTCCCAATATTTTTCCGGAATATTTTCACTCATATCAAATCTAAAAGCTAACATGGTGAAATTGACCCTCGACGTCTTTTCCATGTAAGGCAGAATACGACTTGACATAAAATCGAATAAAGGTTCTGCTTCGCTACTATATTCATCTTCACTGAATCTGAAAAAGTTAATCCACTCACCATCGTCATCTATATCTATATCAAATAATTTCGCTATTTCCTTTTTGCGTTCTTCTGAAGATTCATCGAAGAATTGTTCTATTTCTGTTATGGTTTCTTCTTCAATGCTATCGAAGTCTCCATATTTCATGTTTTCCATTAATTCTTTTACTTCTTCCATTTTGTGTCAAATAATAGGCCAATCTATACTTACTGTCGCTTAAAAATCTCTGAGTATATCACTAAAACTTCTAGCTATAACAATAAACTTTTCCTGCATAACCATGGAAATGCATTAGTCCAACTGACAAACAGGACCGCATGGCCTTCAGTTTTAGTTAGTAATCAAATAACAGTTATTTATAATCCATTAATAATTAATAATATGTAAAGTACTGCATACTAATTCGGTGTGATACCTCACTTACTTAGCACGCTATACAGTGCAGGCTCATAACTGTATTTATCAGCTCAACCTGTTGAGCATAATTAATAATGTAGTAACACTAGCTGAACACGCCCCATGCCATACGAATGAAAGTTCTGATATTATCAAGAAGTTAATGTTATGCAGATGCATAAGAAGTATCTTGAGTGGAATTGAAATCTAATTTCAATAATAACTTGTAGCATTTAACTATGGCGTTATTTTCTTCAGCAATATAGTTATACAAATTAAGAAATATTAACGTAAAAAATAGCTGTTTGAGCACAGTGAGGGATTCTATCACACCTTAATTAATGACTACGAATTCAGCTATTAAGACCAGTACTCAGTTCTGCCTTAGGCAAATTTACTAATTCAAGACTTAGGGTTTTGCTAACTTCTGTAGTGCGGTATAGCAATGCCAAGTGATTGTAAAATTAGCAATAAACAATTACTTCAAACTTATAGTTTTTACTTAGATCAAAGACTTTCATAGAGTTTTTACGAGTGAATAACGACCATACTGTATACAGAAACAAAATTACTTTTTTCAATCAGTGCCAAATGAGAATAGGATGCTTTTTATTTCAATCTAAAGCATCTTTAGGGTTTCCGTTTTCATATAATGTTGTATCATTCATACATGCAAATATATTTTGAACCAGCATCAAAAGTGTGCTTCAAAAATGTTATTTTCAGGAAGATCTGAGATATTTCTAGATTTGAAATTGAAATCGCATTTCTGAATCGGCACCGAGTGAAGAATTGAAATAGGCAATATTCTATTCAAATCTATGCGTAGACCGGCCTACTACTCTTCTACAGAGCTTTACTATTTATCTCGATAATACCTTCTAAATCCATTGCTAACACGAAATTCCATTGTCATAGTTTATAGCAACGGATACACTAGTAGGAAGTACGGTATTTCGCCATAAAATATTGATCCGAATAATAAATGGCTATATTACAAATTAAATTCAGTCTTTCGTATACTGTATTTTGTATCCAAGCTTATAGGATTTATGCTACATTGTAATAATTACGTATAATCAAACATTAAATTAAATCATGCACGTGCAGTGCATGCATTGGTCCTCAATCAACCATCGGCTAAGAATCGAAGTACTCAACTTGTTGTAAACATCAATAATTATTTAATAAATCATTAGTGGCCATTTTCTTATCAGAAATAGTTACTTTTTATAAAATATGTAAGATTTCACTCCAAATATTTATAGTTATCAATTGAGTTTACAGACTGTGAAGAACAAGCATACGATATATTAGCACATAAATCAATGTAATACTACTAATATCAACTAATGTAGCGACCAAATAGCCAACCACGAATTAGATAATAAAATTTCTCTTGAATCTTGGTGACAATTTAACAGCTTAACTATTAAGAATTGTTACGCCAAACTTTTTCCACATCACTAAGAAAAATGGAAAGCTAAGAGCTATACTGTGTTACAGTACATTAAGGTAACTGGAAAACTCTTATTACGTATATCACTAAATAGTACCATATGTACTGCTATAAAACTAATATTGCGTTAACATGCTTCACGGTATTACAGAACAGTACAGTAAATTATCGTATAGCAACTAAGTACAATAACGACGCCTACATGAATGTCGTATTATTACATTAGTGCTGCATTAGGAACGACGATTTATCATTTGTCCAATATGTTTGTATCATGATTGTACTGTAAGTAAAACAAGGATCGAGTAGAAAGAGCATCAAGTACTGTAGCCTCAATATTAGTTACCATTTGAGCCATTTATCTAGAATTCATGCTAAAATTATTATAATTATCGTTACCCGAGTGAATGAACATTACTTCTTGCTATGTAACAATCTACAACAGATACATCATCCTCTATATAGTATATTGCCGCCTTTCTGGGCATAGTACAGTTATCACTTGAACCATTTATCTAGAAATCATGGTAAAATTATTACAATTATCATTACCCGAGTTAGTGAACATTACTTCTTACTAAGTTATAATCTGCAATAGATACCGAACCTCTAACACCTATTTCTGGGTATAGGGTTGTCTTATAAACTGTGCTGCAATTCTTCCAGCTTTACTATCAAGAAGATTTATCACTGATAACCCCCTTTCAGCATCGGTTCTAGGACAATTTTCTCCTGGGCAGCTGTTGAAGCAATAGGTGAAACAGGTGTTGCTAATACGTCATAGTCAGCACCGAAAGTAAGAACTAAATACTGTACTATACCATGAGTAAGATCCTTCCGTCGAAGGTCATTGATCTGTTTGGTTGATTCATACGATTTGTTCCCTGCATCGACCTAAAATTATCTTTTTGTTTGCATTTTATGCATGGTATCGTTAACAATATTTCTTCGCTTTCCAACGCTGTTGGATGGAATTTTGAAGAATAAATCAGATCGCTGATTATCATTTTTCCTTTTTATTTTAGGGTTTATTAGAAGGAGACCATCGACTCATAGTGTAAACAGTCACATAGTCAAGTATTCAGTTTCAATTTTCTTTCAAATTTATTACCAGAGTCTGCTCGAGACTAATAAATGGATACATATCACAGCCATTAAATTCTTAAGTCCACGTTTAAACGGATTTAAAATGATGGTAAAACAATGTTTCATTATATTTATAGCACTAATTTTACTAATACAGTTTACTATAACAATCAATTCTTTGCTATTTACATATTTTGTGGAACGACTGCCTTATCTAAAAAGTTTCATCTAAAGGAAATTAATGTTCACACAGACTTATAGTCTCGTCATAGTTTGCCTGTAAAAGTACCTTTTTTCTTTCTTCTATTATCTTCTCGAAATGGGCCATATCGTATAAAGGAGGACTATTATCCTTTTTTTCTGAAATATGGTTTGCGGGGTCTACTAAAAAATAACAGAGTATCCTTCTCATTCCATCTGATTTTGCGGTGAATGGTAATACCTTATGTTGATATTTGTTAAAGAATACGATACATCTGCCTTTTTTAGCTTGTAACGATCCAATTGGCTTGATTGTCGATTCGCTGTCATGTACATCATTTATCTCTGCAACTGGGTCATGGAAATTCTGTTGATAAGACGTCAAATCTTCGAATTCGTCAATCCATTTCCTAAATGCCAATCTTGACGTATATATTCCTTGAATATCGGTATAACATACAGCACTGGCAACTATTTTTTCATTTGTTGTTCCTTCCACATGCCAACTTCCACCTGGGTATGATTCTCCCTTTTTTAACCTTATTTCTGCGATTTTAACGATGACTTGAAGTTTTCTATTTCGAAGGCTTATTTTATTATGTTTAGAATCATCTTCATCATATGAACGCTTTCTGGATGATTGGTAATAACAATCATTTGCGTTTAAAACATCTTCAAAAGCGGGCAGTACATCTTTTAATGAGGAAGTTATTGAATCGTAAATGGCCTTGTCTAAATCTCTCGATAAATTTCCGATGTTTCCTGAGATAGCTATGTTTCCCAAATCGTCTACAGTGACATCTACTGCTGGCCATTGATATTTAGACGAAATAGAAGCAGTTTGTAAGAAATACAAACTCGAGGGCATATTATTCCAGTCTTTACTCGGAGCAATTCCGTGGATAATAGGATCCAATGAAGGATGAACAATATCTAAAACCTTTCCGTCCGATCCCGGATGCCAAACTTCTTTAAACCGATCAGATAATAGATATTTGTCTACGGCTTCGTTAAAAGTTATATAGGATAAATCATCTTTCGTAACAATTCCTTCGGATTGGAGTAAGGAGTCGCCGCATACCTTTCTTTCCCCTCGCAAACGTAACAAATCTGATATCGCCCGTCTGATTTCTGCCTCCTTGTATTTTTCTGCATTTTGTAACTCTTGCTTCCATTTTTCACAATATTTGAAGATTTTACTCTCCCAGTCAACCTTTGCCATACAAGCATCTTTGATAGCCACGACATTAGAATTATTACTAGGGATTCGCCAAGTATCTATAAATACCCGGATAAGGTATCTGGCTAATTCAGGATCTTCGTAGAAAGTCGGCTCCATCATAGGATGATGTTGGTAATTTCCTTGCAATTGAAGAAGATAATGCACTACATCATAACATTGACCACGACAAGCCCAGCGGAAACCTTGATAGTTCCGGACAGAAACATCTACACCAATCGCTACCAGTTTTTCAAGTGAGTTCAGGCTTCCGTGGTGACATGCCCATCTCCATGCGTATTCATCTTTAACGCCAATAATTTCTTCCCAATATTTTTTCGGAATATTTTCACTCATATCAAATCTAAAAGCTAACATGGTGAAATTGACCCTCGACGTCTTTTCCATACGCGGTAGAATACGACTATTTATAAAATTGATTACAGATTCTATAGCCCTACTGTAACTGGTACCGTTGTAGGTATCTGTGCACTCTTTGAAAAAGATGATCCACCCATCATCATCTTCAATATCTATATCAAATAAATCTGCTATTTCCTTTTTGCGTTCTTCTGAAGATTCATCGAAGAATTGTTCTACTCCCTTCAGGCTTTCTTCTTCAATGCTATCCAACTCTCCATATTTCATGTTTTCAATCAATTCTTTTACTTGTTCCATTTTGTATCCAGCAACAAAAACAATTTCAGTGAAGATGATAACCTAGATAGCGCTTAAAACTCTCTTAACTTGATGCAGTTTATAGGTGCAATTAGAAGCAAAGATGAAATTTATTTTGCTGCTTAAACCATTGAAATGAGTCAGTTTGCAACTAGCAGATACTGTATACTGTACAGTACTGCATAGTACAGTATAGAGTACAGTACTATACACGGTATACAGTACAGTATGTACTGTACTGGACTGGAGTGGATGGTACTGTATACTGTACTGTACAGCAACTAACGAATAAAATAAATGATGCAGGCTGGATCATGCCAGCATCGTTATTTGGAGTTAATTACCCTAACTGCGTACGCAACCCTAACCCTAAAAAATCTCCCGCAAAAATAGGCTGACAGATTCCGTAAATTCCAACGTTTTTAAGTCATCGTACAAAATACAGTACTGTACAGAGTCTTGTAGTAACAACTACAGTATTAGCTACTCAACTATCAAACTATCCAGAAAGTTTTGTTTGCTGAATGTTGAAAACTCTATTGTTATCTATTTCCATACGCTTATGACCAACTGTACATTCTGTACAGTACAGTATAGTAGCTAGAGATAAGCATTTTTTTAGTAAAAGAGTAATACGCACCCGGTCTTCTACCATATACAGTACTGTACTGTGCTTTATTAGCTCTGAATATACGCGTATATGAATTATAATTGAAATAAAAATAGGCTGCTTTACTCATAACATTATTATAAAATAGCTGTTTACTAGCAAATCTCATTTAATCGATTTCATAGGAAATTAAAGTGCTATATAAAGTTGGGATTATATTGTTGGCCTAATTCTGTGTTCTTAGAAATTGTACTTCGGCTGGATATATAATATAAGTTATAATATAACACAGACCTCTGCTCTATCTACCGCACGGAAGTAAAGTGTAAATAACAGAAAATACTTACAGTATTATTTTCTGTGTTAGTAAGAGCCAATATCATAAGATGAGAATAAGCAAGCTAGAATTGCTCTATTACGAAATTCATCGGGTAGTAATGTCTATAATAGACGAGATGATTTAAATGATCTTCGAACACAATTATTTATTCGTCTACATTGGTAGCAAAGTCTTAATAATCTCTAATTAGAGATTAGCATCGGGAGGGTCAATTTGGTGTAATGTGTTTATGTACGTACACTTGTTCATTTTATCGCGCGTTAGCATAGAAAGTATTTCAGTACTTCAATATTCTTTCGGAAATAACTCGCGCGACACTGTCTAAAATCTATCGAATGTCACGTAGAATGTATAATAAGTATAATAAAAAAAATATTTCCTAAACGCTTAGAAATATGGACTTGCAATTTAAATGAGTCAGACCATCGATGAATAATCAAGATTCATAATTTCTTCAGAATATTAAATAATAAATTTATGCAGAAAATAATCATGTAAAATACTTTGGATACCGTTAATTAGAATGGATACCGAACGTTTTTACAACATTTAAAGCCACGTATAGTTATCTACTCCTATAATGTGACTACTGTACTTAATTCGTTAACTAAACTCCATTTAAAGTATACTCTGAGATATTAGCTCATTAGATTGATTTCAAATATCGAAAATGTTTATTTTGATTGCGCAATTTCACACAGTGAACTTACTATGTGTAAATTAAGAAAATCGAAATCTTCCCAGTACTACTTTAACGAAATTGGAAACATAAATAAGCTACAAAATAGAACTGCCCATAGCTAGCCTTGTCGCAATACACATAGGAACGTGTATACAAGCATATGTGCTTGCTGAAAAAGGAAATCTGAAAACTTACTGTATCTACTCGTATATTAACAGGTCAGGATAAAGCATTGGGATTAGATTATTTTATATCAGATCATATGTCGCCAAGGCTACCCTTTAAATATCGTGGGCATTTTAAAGCTTTATCGTTTGTTGAATATGTCCGATGGCAAACAACATTATTCGACAACGGAAATTATGAAGGAGCCTCGATGATATAGTTAATATATAAACCTTATCTAGAAGACAATATAATTAGTTATCACCGTACTTGTACAGAAATAACAGAATGGCTAGGTAAAATGTAATTTCTATACTTACAATGATATCTACATTGATCGGCATTTTCAAAGTCAAAAAAAATGTACATGAAATAGACCTTGAAGTATGAACATCCAATATGAATAACATTAATTTTAGATATCTAACAAGCTACAACAGGCATATCGTCCTTTATACATTGCTGTCTTCCGGGGCATAGGGTTGTCCAATAAACTGATCTGTAATTCTTCCAGCTTCTCTTAAACCACTCAAAATCGCCCCATGTACCGTGGCAGGATAATTTCTACAAGTATGTTCACCAGCAAAAAAGACTCGTGGCTGATTAGGACCTTTTTCAACAGTACCTAAAGGCGTTCGGTTTGCAGTTGTTGAAGCATTAGGTGAAACAGGTGATGCCATTATGTCATAATCTGCACCGGAAGCGTGAACCCCGACATATGAATAAGATCCTTTCGAAAAAGGGTCACTAAACCATCGTGAAATACAGGTTTCCTTTGGCTAGAATTGTAATTATAATCAAGCATTATAATTATCGCAAAACAAGTTGATGTCTAAAAGGATTTCTAATAGCAGAACCTTACCTGCGGTACATTATTAGCACCAAAGATACCTTTCAGGATTGCTACGGTTCGAGCGACAATAGTATCGTCGGAAATGTTTTCAATCGCTTCAGCAGCTTCGCCAGCGATTAGAGCGATTAAAACTGGACTTCGTTTCGTTGACCAAAATAAGAAAAGCTCACCTCTATCGCTCGTACAGGAATTTACATGGCCAAATAAATTGCTTTTCGAGTTCCAGAATATGCTTTCGAAACACAGTACAACCTTCGTTCATTTGAGGTGCAGATACAATTAGTGACGGGGAAAATCATGTTCAAATAATACTATAAATTACGGTTATTAAGATGGTACCTTGTTAAGATTTCCGTACCCAAGCCTCTTAATGCCATTTGTCTTCCATTCAGGAAGAGGAGGATTAAATTGTATTAAAGAAGGATTATACTTATAGATTCCCAGTGGAACAGTCATCAGGACAGCATCGCCGCAAAATTTAGTTGTAGTATTGTCACTGCCGCCACTTTCATAGTTTGACTGCGTTATGATTTCTACTCCTGAAATATTCACATAATAATGTCGGCTTTATCACGGAAGAGAAGTTGATGGATAGAGATACAAAACAGTGCCATAGTACTATAACTAGAGACAATTCTCATTTTAAGGCTAAAATACCGTACCTCTTTCATTGTAATTGATATTTCTTACGGTTGTATTTAGCTTTATATTTAATCCATCAGCAAGGGCTTCAGGAACACATGAATAGCCATTTTTTACAATCAAGTGAGCACCAGAAAATTCGAAATCATCATCTTGATCCCAATATTTCAGAGATAGCCTTTTTAGTGGACATGCATTCGCAAACTCCAAATTGGCAAAATGCCAATTTAGTATTTGGCAGTCTCTTGGAGATAGGTACACATCACTAGCAAATGTAAAGGATGGTATTACTTATACTTATCCAAACATAAGAACACTAAAAGACATCAAAATTTTTTATTTTGAATGTAACATAAATCGCAATTAAATCGTACCTTGGTGGGTTTGATTCCAAAAGAGATAATTTCTGTTGAATTTCCTGTTGTTTACTAAGAAGTGAATCATGCTCCTGGAAAAACAGAGACCATATGAGGCATAAATGAGAAATACTATCCAAGTGAAAGTGTAGCAGAAGCGTTGCTACACTGCTACAATTTCCCAATAAGACATAATCGAAACAAACTATCTGATGGTCTTTTTACCTTAAATAAAGATACTAATTCTCTAGCTTTGCTTCTAGCTTGAAATTCATTGTCAATACTGCTGTAAAAAATACCAATTCCTCAGCACTGATATCAGTATTTCAAGACTAGATTCCTTACTACCATAGCATTTTGAGTTAGCTAGCGATACCTTACAACTCACCTTGGCTGTTTCTTGGCATCAACACCAACGTGTTCTCTATGTATTTGAACGATATCAGTCTGCACAGTAATCAACTAAATATCACAAATGTAAGTAGCATTCGTATCAAGAATAGTATTATTCCAAGAATGAATATTAAGAAGAATTTCAAATACCTGTCTCTTGACAGCTAGACATTGGTCCTGCAGCTCATTGATTCTTTTATAATGTTGAATCAAATCTTCTTTCACTTGTCGCTCTCGAAGTCTAAAATCGTTATCGATTATAGCTACTTAGTCATCCAAAAAAGCACAAGTACATTACAAATAATGCTGGATTTGTATGAGAAAACTAAGTAATGATAGCGCTAGATTCACACAGTATCTACTACTAACAGCCTTACAAAATTCAGTAATCAGTTTAATTTCTGTTTTCTAAGAGTATAAATATTACGTATACACACGATATCTAACCTCTATAAACAACATCATTGATCAATTATATTATCACGCATACAAAACTTAATTTTGTAATAGGATAATCAATTAAAGCTAAATATGCGTGCAGTTGAAAGAATATTCATTCTATTACTGTATTGATCATATAAAATAGTCTCTCAACCTATGCTGTTCAATTCAATGATTGATCAATGCAGTCCAAATGCTCAAAGGCAACTTACTTAATCATAAGTTCTAAAGCTTCTCCTAAAGAAATTGGTTTATCGTCTACGCTATTAAAATCTATTTGATGGGACATATACGAAGTTGCTTCTAGTAAGCGATTGAATTCAGTTTCCACCATGTTATCTTTATCTTTGGGCACCAGAGAAGAGTAGGACTAATCAAATAGTTTAATACTTTATAAGTGTTGCATTCAACTATGACTGAATGAAATTAACGATTATTACTTACCATTTTCCCACTAGTTTCATAAAGTGGACAATCCTGCTTGATTCTTGATAATTCCATAGATATCTGCTTAGATAAAATATCTATCGGATTTCCGCCTAAATATATGAACATATGCTACATTTATCAATTCTGCCATCAAATATGACATGCTACTGTACAAGGATGATGAAATGATGTATCAATTATTTATTAAAAACTCGAAGATACCTAAGCCTGTTATAACCATGGCTCCAAGATCAGCAACCCAGCTTCCTTTAGAAAACGTATTAATCCTTCCACCGACTCTATTCTGTACAGAAAGGAAATAAAACCGGTTACCAATCTGATTAATAGCTATCTGCAAAGGAAAGGACTGTACGTACCCTCCCTTCAATTACTATGACATCGATGCCAAATGATTGTAGTTGTCGAGCTGCAATTAAACCTGATGCACCGGCTCCAACAATTAAAACGGTTGTTTTTGTAGCTGTAGAGTTAATATAAAGCAAGTAAGAAAATCATTTTAAGTGCTAGTACAGATGGTCTTTAATTATAATTAATAACCCTGGAAAATAGTAAACATACATGTAGGTCTCTTAAGGAGTCTGTAAATACCAAAATTAATCAATCCATAACGCGTTAAATAGCCATGCAAACGCGTTATAAGGTGCCTATTATCTAGAAAATTTTCAGAAATTTTTGATTCATATTTGTAGGATTCTAAAATATCATTAATATGCTATTTTGATGTATAATACAATTATTTATCGATATTATACTTACTATTATACGGTGCCTGAAATTGTGGAATGGCTGCTTCGATAGTAAGTTCTACCTTGGGATTATTAAGCCATAATTCCAACTAGAGATGATTTAATACATGAAATTTATCACATGATCATTTCTATCATCTAAGAGCATCTGACGATAACGAACAATTTATAAAATATTAACTTTAGTTAAGATTACCAAGCGATTCCGAATGTATAAAAATGTAGACTTTAGTGAATTGTTTTGAGCGATATCAGGAAAACAATTCATCTCTTGAGGTGTAATTTGATCATGTGGCAAGCGACTTCGAAAGGCTGCTCCTTCCATTCCTAATCAATTACAAGTTATGAAGTATCAGCCATTAATGGTTCATAAAGACCATGGAATAATGATGATGCAATGTTACTTTCGTTAGTATTTGAAGTTTTTTACCTTCAGGAATTTCTCCATACTGATCGTCTTCATTAATGGAAGCATCAGAAAATTCTGGTGATAGTTCATCTTCAGTTAATTGAGCTAATTTCTCGTCCATTTCTCGATATTCAACCTACATTATGAAAGGAATTTACGGAATTATTAAAGGGGCATTTTCTATACCTGCAATGAAGCAGTTATATAAAGTTTATAAGCCTTTGAGTAAAATCAATTCATACTGTATTATAACTTAAGCAAAATACTTTGTTGTTAGCAAAAAATAATTAATAACAGGAAAAGAGTAATATTTAGTCACGACAACGAGGGTACAGTAAATTGACCATAGTAATAATTTCATTAAAGGGAAACATGAATGATTAATCCACTTAATTAAGCGCTAATCGCGTAGTATTAGTTGCTAAGGTTATGGTTATACGTGTGGTATACTCGTATGTTGATGGGAAATGGCACTTGTAGATCAGCAGTTCCGTTCAATACACTCGAGTACAAGAGGCAGGAATGCAAAGAGCGTTATCTCCCCCATAGATGAGTGTAATTGTACCGAATGTATTGGTAGATTGTTGACCACTTGGTAATAAACAGTTAACGAAGGATTATAGCAGAATACTTCGGTGTTGACTGTTTATGACTCTAATTCGAATGGATTTGATGTGTCATTGTAGCCACGCATTCACTGTTCAATCGAATAGTTACAATGCTATGACTTTTTTTTGTATGCAACCTGAAGAAACAAACTGCATATTGCCGGCCCGCGTCAGATCAGATTTTAGAAACGTATATTACATACCATACTACAATCAGTGGCACCAACTGCCCTACATACATTTCAATGTTGCATTTATCAGTGATTGTGCCACTAGAAAGATCAGACATGGGGATATTTTCTCTCGCCGCATTATTGCATTCAACATTATACGCAAAGTAAAGCACTTTCCATTTCTTGATAATAACCCTTATACCAATACTGTAACTATGGTAAGTCTGTCAGGTAGATTTAAACTGCCAGTTAGTTATCTTCGATTGAACAAGGAATAATAGTATTTTAGCTTGCTAACTACATTTCCTGTGGAGAATGTTGAACGTTATATTGATGCAATAGATCAAGTGCAATGTTAATGGTGAACAATGTACCGTTATTGGGAAAGTGGACATGTCTATTCTGGGACATCTATTAAGTGTTTTCAGTACTTTGTTTTTCGATAGTGACTGGTGTATTATGATGTATACCTTGGGTCGTTTTCGCTGGCTTTGACGGCGTGTTATTACATCTTCTTCGTCGCTGTTTCTCGCACCTGGAGAAAGCCACTTATTTTCTGGTACGCTTTGTTTGCTTCCGTTCATCTTCTCTCAGTCTACTCTAAATGATGACTATGATGAACCCATTTGATAACGTTAACACTGATCCATGTTACAATCAATCTACTCCATTACAAGTTGACAACGTCCATGATTACATCTATACCTCACTACATTAACTATCGGTATACTGACTGAATTTCAATTCAAAATAGTCAAATTCTCCATCTTCTGATCAGTTGACTACTAGAGGTACTAGAGCATTGATACGAGTAAAACTTGCATCCCGTACAATGATGATAATGGCAGAATCAATTACCAGTTTCAATGGTTATCCGATTTCTTTCCGCTACCAATGAAAGGATAGTAATATTCTTTCCGGTAATAGTCCAACAGTTTCTACTTGTTTCTATCAATCCTTCTTCAGTTCTAGGATAAATGAAGTGAGAAATATTCAATTGACTACCTAGACAAAGGGCAGCTTGAGTCGCAACTTCACCAACACTAACACTACCGTACGATGCACTGCGTATCATGTATCCTACACCAGCTGACTACAGTGACAGCACTAAGCCAGCGTCGAATCTATTTGAATCGAGTCGATTCAATTTTGCTTGTTTTGCTGATTGGATCAGAGTCCGACTAGCGTCACACCGTACTAAGGCTTACAGTACTTTTACTGTAGGCTACAGTACAGCACAGTACAGTACAATTTTGACAGTGTACTGTACAGTACTACAGTATAATCGCGTACAGTACAGTACAGTGCTGTACAGCACAGTACAAATTTTACAGTGTACAGTACTACAACCACATACTGTACACTGTACAGTACAGTACAGCACAGTACAAACTTCACAGTGTACAGTACCATAATCGTATACTGTACACTGTACTGTACTGTACAGAACATGAAACCTTATTCGTCTGGTACTAGACCTGAGAAAGGTCCGGTTTACAGCATAGTACAGTACAGTATGAGCCTTTGTGGCCATTGTAGTACTGTACACTGTGTACAGTACAGTATAATAGTACAGTACAGTACTGTACTGTACAAGCTCAACAATTCATGTACTGTACGTGTGTATAAAAGAAAGCATCACAGTACTGTACTCTACTGGCTCTCCAGATGGCTCAATGGCAAACTTTTAGTCATCATCGAAAGTAGTTGCGCTTATTGCGGCTGGAATCACCATTAAGGAATTCTATCTGTCTACATCCATCGTTGAAAAAATTCTTTCTTGTCCATGTAGCCATGGAATGGTAAGGACAATATGTCTATTCTAGATGATCGAGGATGCTAAACATGACTCTATTATCATAGCATCACAGTACCGCAGGATAAGATGAATATCAATTAATTATACGCGTATATTATAATTGTCAACCAAGCACATCTGGCCAGGTAACACTAGCATAGAAGCAATAGACTCACAAAGTATTTGTAGCAATATCCCTATGACATGATTATGTTGTGCAGTGGAATTACTAGTACTCCTGCTAGATGGCAATACAATCTGCCACAGATTGAAGCGATACCATCGGTCAGTCTAAGTTAAATTCAAATCCATGGTACAAACAAGAAACCACAGTATTAGATTAACAATTACAATCAAGAAGAAGAAGATTAACTGAAATTCTTCCATAGCTTATAATGTGACCTTTAGCCTCAGTAGATTGTATGCTGCAATGATAATGGAACACTTTCTTCATAAGTTCACGGTTCTTGAGATCGATTGTGTCTTGCTACTTGTCATGTTGCCTACAGTACGAGTACAGATTAATAACATGAATCAGTCATCACGTCTACAAACTTGAAACCCTCGAGTCTCCCACTAGGCGGGTTGCAAGTAGAGTGTGTATAGTACTTTCTTGCATTAATCACTGATGTTCAGTTGATCTTTATACAAATTATACAACACGGAAATTGACTGTGATAGTAAATATCATCTGTGCAGTACATGCTAATAAATCACGTACAACAATAACTACTGTAATAAGTGTACTATCTGTTATGTATAATTATTAAATCGTCTCTTGTGTAATTGAGTTGGTGGCGGCTCTCTTTTGTGGTATTGCGATAAATTGCACAAGGGCTTTGTATTAACCTCACAAATGATACTACTACCATCACTTATACAGTAATTAAAGTTTTCCTTTACATTCTTCCAATTTATCGATGAGAATCCAATTTACACTCATTGCATAACTAGGTGAAGAATAAACTGATTCGTAGTTTGTGTCAAGCGTGATGATAATAATGGTAAAGCTTTGCATACTTTACAAAGGTATTCATAAATCGGTCACACTCTTACTTCACAGTACAGCATACGTACATATAACGGAGATGGAAGCATCATTTCTACTGCTCTACACTAAACTACTTACTTCTTTGCGATGCTAATTTAATCAAGACAACTACATCCATTTTTGCCTACAAAACATACTCTCAATGATTTATTATTGTATACGGTGGTTGATAATTATAATTATTACATGTACAGTATATAGTACACTGTAATGATAACGAAATAGAGTTACCGATGGGTATTAGTTATCATATTGATTACAATTTCTCTTTCGTCTTATCAAGTTCGATGCAATTGAAGTTACATGCTCTTACAAAGAGACAATTTGCCTTGGTTTACCTAGCTTTCTTTTTTGGCTTTATTATCCTGATACTAGTTGGAGTTACGGGTAAGATGTAATGGTATTATTGCAATTATAAGAATTGTTCAAAAGCATTATACGCGTACTTTATTGGAATGTAGTCTAACAAATGATATGTATACGAACTTGGACTCGATCAAGTAGCAATCTCTAATTGTTCAATATTAGCCAATTCAGCATCACTTAATACTAACCTCCATAAATCCTTACTTTGTCGTATTACATCTACCACTATTATAAAGATCATTTGCAAAGATAATGTTATGACAACAGTCAGATCATTGAACAGTGAAGTAGTAGTAGATTAATCGAATCATTTCTTTGAGAAGCGAATAGAATTTAGCAGTGTACCCTAAATATCACAAGCATTTCACTAACGTAAGGTCTTTCTTTATGCATACTTGAATTAATTGCGTAAAATCAGTTATTTTAGCGATATTTAATATAGGTACCTTTGCATTTCTAATGTATGCGATATAGTACAGTACAGCATAAACTACTAAACATTTAGTAGTCCATGAGTACAGGTAGCTACACTCACATGCTTTCATTATCGTCGTTCTTAAGAATTTGCTAAAGGTTACATTCTCCAAAATTGATCTTGAATCATTTATACTATTCAATACTAACTTGTGTGCTTTACGGCTCAGCTACTAAGTACTCTGAAAGTGATCATGACTTGCTATTACGCTGTGGGCTTAAGAATAAGCTTTCGCCTTCAAGCTTATTTTTATCATCTTCTATTATTATACAGGGCCTCCAGTATTAACTCCAATTGCTGCAAACTACAGCAATTCGGTAACAAAACCTACGCATAGTTCTCTAAATGTAAGTTAAAGGGAACAACACCAAAGAATAATGACTATCTACATGAATGAGTGAACACGATAACGCTAATATATCGATATGATTACCTTTTGCAACTAATTAATTATTCATTGCAGCAGAAGATTTTTCTGTAGTAATCAAAAATATCCATAGCGTTACTGATTGTGGATATATTTCAGAGTGGACCTTTTACAGTAAACACTGGAGAACACGCTTTAAATTTATTTAATCAACAACTCTGGCTATTTTGTCGCCTGAAAATCAACGAGCAATCTTCCGGTAAAGCAAGTTGATTGTGCTGTTTTATGTAAACAATGTATTTAATATGTTAAATCACTGATTTTGTATGATTTCATAAAATTTCTACTTGACTCGTTTGTTTTCTCTTTATCTATAGTACGTATCTTGGGTATAGTATTTCAAGTTAAAGCAACTGTAAAAGGTAGAAATAAAGATGGACATTACGTGATACTTTCTGACTTTAATCGTACTCGAAAATTAGAATGCAAGGGATCGGTATGTCTATTTGCTTTGAGTATCTTTCATACGGCTTACAATCATTTTATATATATGTTAATATATATATATACAGTTTGAACATTTTTTTATGACATTGTATTATTTTGATAGAAATGTGAAGAATTCATGGTATTTCATGTGGGATTTCTGAACTTTGAAAAATACGAAGTAATAGTACGATTTCACGGATTGGATGCAATTAATGTTACTAACGTACGCTTTGAGGTATGTTAGAAGCCTTTCATTAAGGAATACGTTATAAAATTTTTATAAGTAACTTGCATAGAATAATGCTTACTAGCTGTACCAGCAATTAGGACTTGGATTATAATGAATGAGTTTTGAAAATGAACTTTTAAATTGATATATTTATTCATTAATATATTTAGTTTCAACACTACAATGTCGCCTATTCCAGAATTGAACTGTGGCTTCGATTCATATTCGCCGTTTGCTCTTTTGTCATTGGCGTAAGTAGAGTGTATAATCTACAGTTTGAATATAAAATATCTGTATACTAATAACAAATCTTGATGATAATCTCTTTAACAGTGTGTTTTCATATACATCCTTCGGACATTTGGGATCCATCAGTGGACAGTTGAGCAAAAGTAAATGATTATGATATAATCCGAATTTTACTACAAATAATCCCAATTCCATACTGTTGTTATCGTAGTAATAACAAATTTTTCATTGCTAAGACTGCCATCATATCACGCGACTTTCTCGGAATGTAGTACCACCACCTTTATAAATTATATAATTAATGAGACTTTCTTATCTTTCAGATGGCTTTCATTTCTTCTTCCATTACTGCTACTATTCAACAGTCAGTAGAAAATGTATTTCTCCGTTTATCTTGAAAGTGATCTTTAAATTCTATTGACTCTTTTGTTATAGATCCTTTATATCCATTAAAATTCCTTGTAACCAATGCGTCTGCATACGTTATCGACGCCATTTTTGAATCAAGTTTTATTGCTGCTCTTCTATTATTTTGGTTATGCATATCTCACAGTATGAGAGAAGTATGATATTGATCGGACGGATGATTTTGATACTAACTTACATTCTTGTGTTCTAAGCTAAACTACAGTATAAGGGCTAGTTTGGATCCATTTGCTATATTAACATCTCAATACATATTAGCATTATAGCAAGAAATTCTTCACATTTTATGCGCCGAAGATATTATTAGTCGGTCTGCTATGGATTGCTGCTTTTACCTTGTCTGTATGGCAAGAGTAAGTGTGTAATGTTCATCAATAAAATTGTGTATAAAATGACATAATAAGTGCTTCCATTTTAATAGAACTATTGAATTAAATGCTCCAATCGAACAATACACGCAATATGCCGCCAAATTTGAGGTAAGAAGTAATTACAGATACAAATGCACGCTTTTATACATCGAAGTATGAAATTATAACTTAAGCCAAATTTCTGTCTCTATGCGTAGGGTCTAAAAGTATTTCTGTACATCCTGATTGGACTGTATGTGTTGTACTTACTTTATTTGTTAGTCAGAGCATATGGAGAACTACGTAATTTAGCCTTTCATGGTAAGGAATTCGTAACTATTATAGCATATTAAATGTTATATGAGTAACTCTTTTGGTATTTCTGATGTAAGCGCCCTAAAGTTAACTTTGAGCTGTTTTTCGGTCATTTTATGGCATATGCTTTATTTCTCCTTATGTAGATGTAAAAATGAAATTCTTCACATCATCAATGCTCTTCGTGATGATTGTATGGTAATAACAATTATTCTTTACAGCGATCGATCGATTATAATTAACTATAAGCGTAAACCCACAAATTATAAATCTTTTGGATGACATAACGCTTACCCTATGAATTTTTTATTTATTTCAAGCGTTGTTCTTTTAGTCATTCAATATGAACGATCTACCTTGCATACCAACATTTTAGCTCAGTTAATCACTCTCTATCAAAGACATATCCTAAGAAATTGATACAAATCAGAAATTTTGTCAACTTTTAGCCAATATCGCTGCATTCCTTAACCTATTTTACATTCAGAATTCGTTATCCTGTTTGGAGTATTAAACTTTTACATTTACATGATGGCATTCGTCTATTCTCCAGCGAAATTTGCAATTGAAGGTTAGCTTTATTAATACATCGCTGTAAGATTTGTCGATAAACTAAAACTAACACGTAGTTTATACCTCTCTGATAGAGGCTATGAATAAGCGCAATGCAGTTTTTTCAGCTTTAAATGGAGAAGAGCGTGTCATTTACGGGTAAGTAACTCTTGATATCCGTTTCAATTTTAGCTTATAATTAATTGCTTAACCAATTAATTAATTTCCTTTTGAAAAATGGCAGTAGGAAGAGGAGTAAAAATCAACGATTACCGCTAGAGAGCGACGAAGATGAAGAGTTATCATCTTAATCTTTTATACATTAAAATGACTAGTCTGTCACTATAATTGAATATATTTTGTTTGCAGTGTACTTTATGTATTTAGTTCTTGATGAAAAAGTACCATCCATCGTTACTTATGTACAAATTGCATACCTGCTTCGATTATATTTATGAATTCGACCTATTATTAGCAGTACGATAAATAGGGTTTCAGAACTGTTAAGGTAAATTGTACTTTTTGTGCTTTGTATTGATAAGCCTGACTGCAAAAACAATTGAAATGTCGCAATATCATTAATTCGATAGAAAGCTATCTAAAAAAGCCTATAAATTGAGCATAAATTGAAGCCTATAACTGTAACCCTGAAGAAATTCGAACGCATCTCTAAGAATTAAAGTAGACAGATTTATTTGTTAAGTTCAAAATTAAATTTTATAGATGATTATGGCAGTTAAGCGTAATCCCTCACATTACAGTCATATATTTATTATGAAGCATAGTTACCCTCATTATTTATCATTTAAATATCTTCTATGCTAATAAAATTTGCAACAATTTTGCCACGCATAAATCTGATTGCCTAATCTTGTTGCCATTAATCATGGGATTGTAATTGGTACAAAGCAGCCTTAGAAGGATGATTTGTTGTTCTTGCTATCTATCCTATGCATACAGTACTACAGTACAATGAACAGCAATACCAATAATAATTCATAGCTTCAATTAGGTAATTGCTTATTCTATATACTTTATATTATCACGGATTAAACTTAGAAGTTAGAATTTTAAGCTGAACGTGTCAGTATTCAGTAACAGCAGTGAATTTTCCAGCGTGTACACTGGAGAAATAATGCCGTACTCGCTGAGACCCGCGGAAATTCCACTACTATTCGTAGCTGAAACTGGTAGGAATTCCACTGCTATACTGTAGAAAATATGCAAATCATCTACGTTAGTGTCCACCAGTACGGGCAGTATCACATTGTGGATTGTTTAATGGAGCAATCGGTTGGTCGTCAAAACTTATTTGCTGTTGCTGGTCAAAACGTCTTTACTGTTGCTATGCTACAGAACCTTACAGTTTACAGTACTGAGTGTAGAGTTACAGTACTGTACACTGTAACTGTACAGTACAGTACTCGACTAAATACTGTACTGTATACTTAGTGTAAAGTACTGTACAGTAGTACTGTACTCATGCGCGAAAGCTACCGGTGCATTAATTAACTACAGTATATTGAATAGAAGATACTGCGCCTTACAGTATTAGGCTTTAGAGCTCTTTGACTGTATCCGAAACAAACAAAAGTTTCGTGATCAGTCCATTGCTAAATATCAATTTGCGATTCTAATTCATCGCTACTAGTCAATCTGCCAGTCTATAAGTAATACAGTGTTATAACTTAACTTATAAGAAAGATTTTTTGATAGTAGGTAAGCTTTAAAATATGCTAAGGTGATGGATTTCGCCGAAGAACAGCGTAATGAAGTAGAGGCTTTGGAATCCATTTATCTGGATGATCTTCAAAGTAAGGAGCACATGTGAATGTTGAGTGATATAGTTATTGCTAATTTGGAAAGGCGAGATATACGTGTACAGTACAGTATTTACTTTCTCTGACTACTGTATGTCGTATGCTTCACCGTGGACATTTAAAGTTTTTAAAGGATCTTTTAGTTTGTAAAGGTAGTAATTCCAATGTTGGTTAGCCAAACGCTAAAGCTGTACAATTTATTCAGCATTTTTGTTATACACTATCACAATACAGTATACTACGATGTAGTATACCATAGCACGTGAGACATTTTGCCCTTATTGCATATACTCGTACCTAGCTACTAAAACTATATTGCTTCAACAACCTTTCCAAGATGCATTTCTTGCTTTTATCTTGTTTTCCTATCAAAACGAGGTAAGATTAAATGCGCATTTCTTTCAAATTTTGCAGTAATAGAAGAAGATCCATGGTCCTTTACTATTTACGTCGAGTGTGATCAACAGGAGGATAACCCAAAATTCGAAGGTAGTACTCATTCTATTTATATTTATTTTATATTACGCTGTAAGGACTTTCCACCACAATGTGAATAAATTGCAACTAGCACTAATTATGGTTATAATCGCTGATTCACGTGGTTTATTGACGACTTGTCTATTTAGTCAAGAAAGTTTAGATTTGCTGGTTGTTTACCTTGAGCGCGTACAAACTACAATGTTTTCTATTTTCAATATTTCGGAAATAGCATGTTCGGTACAGTTTCGCTTTACTCTTACCCCGTGTTACCCAGAAACTCCGCCGGAGATACAAATTATTGAAAAAGATAACCTATCTGATAATGATATATCTGATATTATGGAAATAATGAAGGAACAGGTTAGCTCTCATGAATTCATTTATGTGTATCATCAACGGAGTCGCTCAGTAACCTTTCGTAACACCGTTAGGCTGATGAAAATTCAGGCATGGCCATGGTATTTACGTTACTATCAGCCGCCAAGGATAAGATGGCAGAAATTGCAGAGAATATTCTCATACAGAAAGAAGACGAAATCCAGAAGCTGAAAAGGCTTGCCGAAGAGCGTGATAAGGTATGAATTGTTATGTCAAAAGGCATCTTTAGATACAGTTTATGATCATAAAATCACAGAGTCAATTAGACGAATGATAATTCTTTGGGTTGAGTTTATTTTGAGTACGTCTATTTCTTAGGCTATTCGGTTAGGAACTCCTGTTACAGTTGCAAACTTTTTAAAATGGAAAGCTGAATTTGAACAAGAGCAGTCGGCTGCCAAGAAGCGCTCGAAAAATAACGATAGCACTTCTACTAAGTTAACTGGTCAATAAATGTTTCCGTAACTATTACTTTAAATTAACTCCAATTAAACTATGTGCTATTAATTATCTTGTTTCTTAGGTCGGCAATTATTCGAAAGTGATAGCTCTTTGAAAAATTCAGATGCTTCATTTATGCAAGACGGTAGTTATTTGCAATAATGAATTTAGTCTACAGTGTCATTTTTAAATTAAACACTAACGGATTCATTTATAGGTGATGTGAGAATTGATGAATCACTGTTCGAAGATCTTGACGGTTTGGATATTGAAGAAGATATGGAAGACGACTAACGAATATAGTTACGTGTACAATAATAGTATCTTCGCATCATGGCGACCAAATTTTATATAGAACTGTATCATTTATTGGCTACTATTTTATGTAAATCATGGTAAACTTTTGTTGAATAATCGGAATAATATAATATTACTTGCTGCAAAGACGCATTAATATTGCATAACAATTTATACAATTAAACCTCAAGCAGGCCATTCAATTTCATTTCGAAAAAATGTCTATTATACAGGAACTAATTATTATTGCATGCGAGTGCCTCGATATCACCTATTTCTTAGTGCTAGAAGCAATTTTAGATATTCATAGCCACGTTAAAGTAAAGTTATTGGCCAAACTCTGTTCAACATCAGTGACATTCAGTACCTGCAGATACACGTAAATGTAGTAAATATCAAAACAATTGGTTAATTTTAAAATCTTGACTAATATCCAATGACGCCGCACTATGATCTGGATATTAACTCATTGATTTAGCATATCCTGCTCTAGCAATATTAACTTAGGCTTTAATGATTACCTTTGACGCGGAATTAAATTGAAATGTCGTTAACGAAATGCCATTTAGGAAAATATTAGTCACTGTTTTTGACAACCCAAATATAAGGATACGACCTAACGTTGGCAACTGTCGGTATTCAAATTTGGTAGTGATTCCGTCTAATTGTGTCTGAAATTCATAGAATTCGGCAAGGTGAGTTTGATTCAAATTACGCAAGTTTACTGCATATTCACGTGCCTACATTTGAACCTGGCATATAAACTATTCCTTATTATCATATCTAAGCTATGCTTACCCCGTTGGCCTTAAATTCCAGTAAGGAAAAATTACCGTTTCTATACGTATCTAAATTTCGAAGCAATGAATGACTCAAAGTTAAAATAGCATCTGCAACACCATAATAACTGCTGTGATTTTCTCTATCAATCATTAGGTTTCAAATAGTAATAAGAACGGCTGCATTAGCATATATTATAAGGGATGCTGCATTGTTGAGCTATCACTATGCAAGCAACCATTAAGTCTTGCTATTGTACATAATTGTTAATTTGGCTATTACACTACAGACAATAATTAATTTATATTTTCTATTGGCATAATGATTTACAACTATACGTTCCTACTATTATGTTGGCAGAGTGAACGTAAGTGGTATAGTAATCATCACAGATCATACACGGTGCATAGAACGCTAAAATACGACACAGATGCATGCGAGTAGTTACAAACCGATAGATATGCCGTCATCCCAAAATAAGTTTCCAGTTGCGCTGCTGTTATCGTCAAGTGCCACTATTAGTCCGAACTGATTTAATCGACTATCGGAAAAATCCGTTATTTAGAAATCTTTAATTAAAGTTTCTTAACGCACATCCTGTACTACGTAGTAACGTACTTAAATTATTATTTCACAACTATCGCTGTTACCGTTCGTTCATACCTGTATTCAGTGTTGTTTGCCGGCTCCTGGGTGGGCAATATATAGCCTCCTCTCACATGCAATGGTATATAATCGGCAGGAGCAGATAACACTACCGTTGTACCTCGCTGGTTTGACAAAATTTCAACACCAGTCCTGTAATCATACCATCGAGCGTTTGGGAAATAAGCATGTACTGTTATGGCTCCCTGAGTGAGCACCGGTGAAATTAACAATCCTCCTCCCCACATAAATTGTTTATCAGTACTTCTACAATTAATGTCTTTAGGGAATTCCATCATTAATGGCCTCATAACTGTGAAACCTTCCGTGTGTGCTATATGAAAGAGCGTATATAGATACGGTAGTAAGGTATATCGAATTTGGAGTACGTTAAGGGAATTTAATGCAATTGCTCCATTAAAAGCAGCTGGATCTTGATCAATGCTATGGATGCTATTATGATTCCTCGAGAAGGTATAGAATGCTCCCAATTGCATCCATCGATTGCATAACTCAACAGAACTATCTCCAGAGAAACCACAAATGTCGGCACCAATATAAGGAATACCAAACATATTAAATTCCAAGCAACCGATTATGGAGTAAGTCATAGAAGGCCATTCAGATTTATTATCGCCCAGCCAGTGTCCACCATACCGTCCGCTACTAGGAAATGTAGATCGTGATATAACTATACTCCTTAAATTGTTGCCTAAAGCCATCCGTACTGCAGTCAGAGACGGCAAAATTTCACTATGACCATATAAGCTGTGAACATTATAATGGAGTGATTGATATTGCTTTGCATCCATACAGATAGTTTTATCATATAGCACAGCTCCCCATAAACCTCTAGGCTTATATGGAGGATTATTATAGGCGTTATTAGGGCATCCAGCAATAGATCCTTGAACAAAATTAGCTGGCTCATTCATATCAATCCATAAGCCATCAAATTTTAGAGATTTGTGAAAAGCGACGACTTGATTTTGCCACCAAATACTTGCGGAAGGATTACTAAAGTCAGGGAAGACCGCATTACCGCGTGGCCAAACTTTACCGATCAAATTTTTTCCTGAACTATCATTAACAAATACATTCATCCTAATACCTTCGAAATAAGGAGGATATGTGTCATTAGTTTGATTATTACTAATTGCAGGATCCAAGATAATAATATAGTGTTGACCATGTGTATGTAACTCTTCCACATATTCAGGTAAACCAGCATAAGCATTTGTGTCGTACGTAAAATCTAAAGCATATCGCATATAGTCAATATCCCCATATAGTACATCTAAGGGTATATTGTAATCCTGCATCCTTCGCATTACTTCCTTGACACGAGTAAGGCTACCGTATCCATATTTGCTAAGTTGAAAACCTAGGGACCAATAGGGTGGCATTAATGGCAATCCAATGGTTTTTGTGTAGTCTTGAGAAACTGCAGAAGGAGATTCACCGACAAATACGAATATATCGATAATACCACCAATTGATCGAAAAGTTAAAGCAGGGGCACGTGAAAGTATAAATTCCATTGCATTGCTATTGAGGAAAAGAGCTCCATTACTATGGCCCTGACTGTCTTCGATATTGAGGTAGAAGGGATGAACTCCGTATAAATTAGCATTTTCTATAGGTGGTTGATCTCTTGCAAATAAACCCCATAGTTTCCAATTAAAATCTTGGTGTTTTAATGTACGGTGTTCGTGTTCGCCTAACCCGTAAAAATCTTGCGATGCTAACCTAGTGCTTATTTCTAAAAACTGATTTTCGTAAACTAACCCACCAATTGAAGTATCAAATATTACTTTTCCTGTAGATTTTCGCTTAATGGAAATTGCAAAGGGCATTGCAGTAACTGAAATATTATATAAAGTTGAAGATAAAGCCCTGGGTGACGACGTTTGATCTGTATTTGGTAAATCGATCGGAACTTGATAACGTTCCTGGTTGGGATCGTACATTCGAATACGGATTCGCGAACTAGTTTGAGTTTGAATGTCGACAATAAGTTGCTTTACTGCATTTTGGATGATAACTGGATTATTTTTACATCTTGTTAAATAAGCTCTAATGCCAAAATTCGTTGTGACGATAGATGCGTTATAAGCTGCATAATTGTGAGGAAAAAAACACCACGGAGCGTTAGCATAATTACCATCATGATTTGGAACCCAACAACAGCCTCTTGCTCTGCATGAATTTTCATTTGCACCATGTTGCGGAAAGCAATCAATTCTTTCAGCAGTTTGTACTGCTAAACATGATGATGATGATGATTCATGGCTTCCACATTGATCGCTAGGATAAGCTGGTACTTGCTGAGGTGTTTCTTGGGTGTAATTCCAATGAATAATGAATTTTTCGTCAACAGGTATTTGTACTCCACTGATATTTAAGATTTTAAACTCACTATCGTATGCATAATTCTCGATAATTGTTTGATTTATAATCAACTCATTTATAGAATAAGCCATGCCGTAGAAAATAATATTCTCTATTACACCTTGAATACCGTAGCCCTTATGCAATACTGTGGAAAATAATAAGTTTCCTTCAACAGTGTATCGTATTAATGTATAGTTACCAAGTTGATAAGTGCTAGCTGATTCTCCGTCATCTAGGTAAAGTTGGCCGTCAGCAGTATTATTATCATCAAGGGCAATTAATAGTGTGTAATTATTCATTCGACTGAGTAGAGTATTATTGGAAGGTTCTTGCATAGGCAAAATTGAACCTCCTCGTACATGTAGAGGAATGACATCGGCAGGAGCCGATAAAGAAAGACTGGTTCCTGGTTGAATTACTTCTTTTCCAGTATAAAAATCATACCATCGGGAGCTTGGAAAATAAGCATTGACCGTTGTTTTGCCTTGCTCGACAACAGGAGTAATCAATAAATTATTTCCCCAAAGAAATTGCTTATCTACTGTTCTGCATGTTTTATCCTTGGGAAAGACTACAAAAAGAGGACGCATAACCGGCACTCCGGTAGAATGAGATTCAAACATTAACGTATACAAGTAGGGAAGTAAACGGTATCGAATAAGAAGAACTTTACGGGCATTAGCTGCAAAAGTTGCACCGAAACTAGCTGGGTCTTGTGGAATAGCAGAATCGCTGTTATGATTTCTTGCCATTACATAGAAAGAGCCTAGCTGCATCCAACGACCACATAATTCAGCATTGCTGTTACCTGAATAACCGCAAATATCAGCTCCTACATATGGAATCCCAAATAGGTTAAATTCTAAACAACTTATAATAGATGTCGACATTGCCTCCCAGGACGCGGTATTATCACCTAACCAATGACCACTATAACGGCCACTGCCTGGAAAAGTCGATCTTGATAATATTATTCCCCTCTTAAGAGGATTAGCTTTACGAATTCCAGACGATGTTGGTAACGTTTCGCTATATCCGTAAATATTATGAACGTTATAATGTCTCGAAGTAAATTGGTAAGAATCCAAACATATTGTTCTTTGATATAAATAAGTTTCATCGATGCTACCTGCCATTAGATACCGTATAGATTATAGAATTATTAAAAATTAGTGGTATTTAATTTAGCTAAAATTCATCGTCTTACGAGGTTTATAGGGTGGATTATTATATTGGTTAACTGGACATCCTTGTGTGGAACCATCAATAAAATTTGCCGGTTCATTTTTATTCTATATCGTTAGAACAATAATGTAAAAGTCATTAGGCCTTACATAAAATCTCTAATTATCGTCTTAGATACTGCAAAACTTGAACTGTATTTCTTACAATCCAGATTCCATCAAATTTAATAACTTGATGAAACTGCTGAATTTTGTTTATCCACCATTCTTGTGTAGCAGGATTCATAAAATCTAAAAATACTGAATCTCCTATAGCGAGGGCCTTTTCAGACATTAGCATGCAGGTAAGAATGGAATAGTCACTGGCGAATTCTACTTCATTTTTGAAAATATTTATATGGCGTATTATAACAATCTCTTACCTTGCCAATTAATGGTTTATTACTGCTGCTAGAATTAATAAATAAATTTTGTGCTAGCCCTTCGTTGTATATAGTATAATTAGATATCGACTGATTATTGCTTATGGCTGGATCCTAAATAAAACAAAATTATATAAAGACAAATCTATGGTAAGCTTTTATCGAAAATTTATGGTATAGGTAAACGAAATTTTAATTTTGTATTAAAAATAACTGTTTTGGACAATTTTATTCTAGTCGAACTACAAGCTCCTACCAAGGTAATCAAATAATGTATTCCCATTTCATGTAGCTTGTTAACGTAATTGGGCAAGCCTGCATACGTATTTTCATTATAGGTAAAATCCAAATTTGCTCGCATATAGTCAATATCACTTAAGATTACGTCCTATATTATATTTGGTAAAATAATAATGTAATTATTTTATCTCATTTCTGTATTGTTTATATTTCAGGCTACATACCACTGGAATATTGAAATTGCGATTGTTTTCTAATACATCTTTAATTTGCTGCAAGTTCTTATATCCATATCGACTTAATTGAAAACCAAGAGACCAATAAGGAGGTAGAAGTGGCAATCCAATTGTCTGTTGGGAAAATGAGTAAGACTGCTAAGCGTGACAGTACGGCTGAATTTGGCACAATAATGTTGCATACGAATTGAACGTTTACAGCCAAGAGTCAGAAGAAAGAGCCATTCTATTAACATTACGGACTTTCTTTGAATAATACTTAAAGTATCTGCATGAACTGAAACTACTAATCATCTCTAGTACGCGATCCTCAATTAATGCTAATGTGTGCGTTCAAATAGTGCCAATGAATGTAAATTCGGATTATGCGACAGTAATACCTGTATGTAATCGCTAATAACATCCAGAGGGTTATTGCCGACGTAAATAAACAAATCAATGATACCTCCAGTGATGTAATATGTTATAGCTGGTGCTGGAGTAATTTCCACTTCTGTTGATTAAATTGATAACATAGAACGAGTCGATTAAGTGTAAATGCAAATAAATCATTCACTGTACTGTATCTAAACTAGCGTATTTCAGTCATTTACAAAAAAAATTCTATAGTAACGTAGTTATTTAGTTATTGTAAAGCTATAATGACCCAAAGCATTGCTATTTAAGAGGAAAATGCCATTGGAATTGCCGTCGTCATCTTCAATGTTGAGATAAAATGGATGTACTCCGTATAAATTTTTATCAGCCTAATTATACAAAATACAAAATTTAATTTAGTCATCGTGAATATATAGCGGCTTTTGTGCTAATGTCACAAAGTTAAGCAAATAGCAGTGATTAAGGAATTAATTCAGTACCTGAGGTTGGTTATTAGCCGAGAACATCCCCCATCGTTTCCAGTTAAAATTTTGATGTTTTAACTGTTGATGCTGATGCTCTCCGAAACCGTATAAATCCGTAGATTGTATCTTTGTAGCAAATTGAATATACTGGTCCTCAAATACCAGGTTGGCCAGGCTGGTATCAAATCTAATAAAGTAAACTAGTTAACCAGACTTCCTCTAGTCCCAATAACTATTTTTACATAAATCAATTGTGTAAAGAACGCAGCAGAGTACTTGTAAACAGTGCTATCATATGAGATGATGACTTTTATTACATCTCAGTGACACTGTAATAATTCTTAATATCCGTTTTAAGCGCGAATTTTACAGTTGATGAGAATGGGCAGTCATGAAAATCAAAGGCTATATCTTCAATAAAGTATCATAGCAACCTTTAATTACTCAATTGCAAATGCTTACAGTATTAGAAGATATGAGAGCAATAACTTTTAAGACTTACACAACAGCATTGGTCGATTTTCTAGTAACAGAAATAGAAAATGGGAATTCTTGAACTTCAACTGAATATGCCGGTTCTAAAGGAGCTTGTGTTTTGTTCCGATTTAATCCTGGTAAATCAAGTGGAACCGTATATCTGGCACTGTTTGCATCGAATATCTGATAACGAAGATAGTAATAAATTGCTTATCACCCATACCGTACTATGCATTTTCTGGTAACTTAAGACCAATATAAGTATGGATACAAAGATAGCGTAGTAATGTGATATGTTAGTTATTAGTATAGGGGAAACTTACCTTTATTCTTAACCTCGAATTTGTTTGATAGTCGATATCAAGAATTAGATAATGAATTGCAATACTGTACATTGTTGATGCCTGATTACATCGGGTAAGGTAAGCTTTGATGCCATAGTTTGTTTTTTCCGCTGCAGCACGATAATGCGAATAATTTGCGGGATAAAAGCACCACGGTGCTCCTTTTACCTGAACAGGAGACCAGCAACATCCATTTTCTTCACAAATTTGTTGATTTATGCTGCTGGAAGTACAATCTATGCGCTTGTTTACTTCAACATTTGCGCAAGCTTGGCTTCGTTGCCATGAAGATGTGCAATTATTTGTGGGGAAATGTGTAGGAATGGAAGAAGCGGTTGGGGCTAATATTTGTGTAGATGATAAGTCATTATCGACTAAAGTTGAAGACGAGATAATTTCCGAAATTGTGGTCGAATGTAAGCCGATATTTGAAGGCGAATTCAAAACAAATGTAGCCGTTGGACTTAAATTTTGCGTCAAGAATAGATTCGAATCTGATGAGACAGAAGGTAAGATAACTTCCGGGGTATGATGAGGCGAAACAGGAGAAGACTCCACTGTTAGTATTTCGGAAGAGCGTGATTCAATTTCTGTTAGATGGGAAGAAAAAGAGGCACTTTCCGCAATTGTGGGAGGGATCAAGCTACTAACTAAAGGTGAATTCCAAACCGAAGATCCGGATGAATTCAGAATTTGAGTAGAGGACAAGTCCGCATCCGTCAAGGTTGAAAAGGAGTTAACCTCCAATAGCACAGAAGAGTACAAACTACGGCTTAAAGGAAGGTTCAACATCGACGATGTTGTAAATGGATTCTGGCTTATCAATGAATCAGTATCACTTAATGCAAAAGAAGCCGTTTCTGAAGTAAGACTGGATGAAAGGCTGGAACCAGCTAAAGCCGATATTAGAGATGAGGGCAAATAAGTATTTACCAAAACTGAAGAAGAGATTGCTTCTGATATTATAGATGATGTCGGAGTAAAATTTCGTGTTGAGAGTGAGTCAGTATCAGCTAAAATAGAAGAGAAGAAAATTTCTGAAGTAGAACTGGATGAAAAAGAGTAATCAGGTAGAGTTGGAGAGTATAAGTTAGTACTTGATAAGACTGAAGAAGAATAGATTTCCGAAGTAGAAAGAGATGAAAATATTGGTACTTGTGTAGACGATAAATTATTATCTATAGAAATAGAAGAGGATATTATTTCTAAAATTTTCGAAGAAAAGCTACTGCGTAATGGTAACTCAGAAGATCCAGACGGCGTAAATTGTTGGATGGAGGATAAATCGGTATCTACTTTTGCTAGAGACGAAATAGTTTCTGAAGTAGTATAAGATGGAATCGA